ATGTGTAACATCAGTGTGAACAAGAAAAGAAGGGCAACTGACGGGAAGAAACTATTACTGACGGATGTAATGCACGTGCTGATAGAATGAGTTACTATTCCTCAGTAGAGACTTTTGGCATTAACCCTGATTCCAAACATGGTGAAAGAAATGTTTCTACTGTCAGTCTTAGGTCAACGTGCCTTGGTGGCACAGCATATTTTTTATGCTTAGAAAATTGTTGTCAATTATATACCCTGATGAACTAAATGCTAACTTCTATGACAGGAAGTCTTATATTTTCCATGTGATGCTTAGTGTTAGCTTTACAAATTCAGGACTGGTGAAAATTACGTGTGGTTCAGGTGTTCCCACAGTACATGTGGCAATTGTGTGGTTTACATATTATCTTCTTGATGTGGCAGATCAAATATGAATTGGTCCTTTTGTAGGAGCAAGTGTGCTTTAAATAGAATCTTACGCATAGCAATGTTCCGTGAGTTCTTGTGAAGATGAATAGTATCTTCAAGCCCAATTTACACAAACAACACATAGAAAAGTCATTAAGTAAATCACCCGTACTCCTCACAAGGGGAACTAGTATTCAGAGGGGACATAGGCCTTTTTTTTTTTCTTTTTTTATTGGGCTGATCTGTGCAGCACTCCTATCTTGGAAGGTAATTACTTCATAATTGTTTCTTGAATTTTCCACTGGTTAATTTTTGAAATATAGTTGACTGTGGATAATTGAAACTCAGATAAAACCACACATAAATGAAGGCTTTTTACAGCAACATTGTGCTAAATCTCTCTGGTGTAGTGCAGTTTAAGGTCAGTATTTTCTTGGTGCCTCTGGTTCAGCTATGAAAGTGAGGGAATTAGTCCTCTTATTTCTCTCTCTCTCTCTCTCTCTCTCTCTCTCTCTCTCTGGGTCTCACTATTTGTGTTACTTATCTTTTTGGCCACACAGGTGATGCTCTGGGTTTCCTTGTGGCTCTGAGCTCAGGGATCACTCCTAGTGGGCTTGGCAGACCATATGGGATGCCACAGATCAAACCTGGGTCAGTCACATGCAAGACAAGTGCTCTACCCACCATACTATTGTTTCAGCCCCTTCTGCTAGCTGTTACATTTTGAAGGTGTTCTCAATTGAGTGGATATTTATAAATATTCTAGCCTCTTAGATTTTTGTCAGTCACATCTTGTCCCTTACTACATGCTCTGTCTATAATCCATTTGATTTGAGGTGCCATCCCGTTTCTCTCTTGGCTTCTGCTTGTGTGCAGTACCTTGCCCATCCATCGCTTTCTTTATGTGTTCTTATATTTGATGTGAGGCTCTGGGAGGCAGCACTTAAGTTGCATTTTGTTTTTCCCAAGCCCACCCAGCCTTCTTTGTTTTAATTGGATACATTGGTGGAATATATTCATTGTCGTCTTTTCAAGCTGATGTGTTTTTTTCTTCTCTGCTCTGTGATCTAAGATTTTCTGTAGCAGTATCCTCAACTTCTTCTATCTTTTGTATATTGCAGGTCTTTTTTCACTACCCGGAGGTTTACATAAAATCAAACTTATACTTGCCTATTCAAAGTCAATGACTTAATTTGAATGCATTCCAATATTTTTTTTTGAGAAGTTGTTGTTTGTTTGGGGGTCACACCTAGTTGTGCTCAGGGCTTATTCCTGACTCTACCCTCAGGATTACTCCTAGTGGACTTGGGGGACCATACTGTTGTGCCTGGGATCGAACCCGAGTCAGCTGCATTCCAAGGAAGAGCCCTACCTGCTGTACTATCTTTCTAGCCCCTCTAAAGTATTTTAAACTCTATAAAGGAATGTTCTCATTTCTGCCATGTGTCACTTTTTCCTTGATAGGTCTTAGTAGGCGATATATACATTTATGAGTTTTTTCCCCCCTCAGAGAACCGGCTTTTGGTGGTGTTGACTTTTTGCCCTGGTCTGTTTCCTTGATTTCTGCTTTTTAAAATTGTCATAGTTCAGGGTATTAGTGTGTTCAAAGTTGTGTGACCACAATCGCTATCTATCCTAGAATATTTTCATCACCACAGCCAGGAAACTCCATATGTATCAATAATCTTTTTTCAGTCTTACACTCCATCCTTGTCCCAGCCCCTTGTGACTGCTAATCCCCTTGTCACTATGATTGGTCTACTTGGGACATTCTGTAAGTGGAATCATACAGCATGTGGTCCTCCGGGACAGCCTTCTTTAATTAGCACAATGTTCCCGAGATTTATCCACATGGTAGTAAGTAGTAATTCATTCTTTTCTAGTGCCAAATATATGCTATCTATGTATATGCTACATTTGTTACCCACCCATCAGTTGATGGACATCTAGAATGTTTCCAGTAAAACTACTGTGAATAGTCAAAAGACTGTGTGTGTGTATCTCTTTAAATTACATACACACACACACACACACACACACACACACACACACACACACACACACCATTAGGAGCAGAACTGCTGGGTCATGCTCTTTGTCTCTATTTCTGAGGCACTGCCTTACTTCATATACCCCCCACCAATAATAAGGGGCTGGAGTGATAGCACAGTGGGTAGGGTGTTTGCCTTGCACGCAGCTGACCCGGCAGACCCAAGTTCGATCCTTCCACCCCTCTTGGAGAGCCCAGCAAGCTACTGAGAGTATCTTGCCCACACGGCAAAGCCCGTACGGTAAGGCCTGGCAAGCTCCCCGTGACGTATTCAATATGCCAAACACAGTAACAACAAGTCTCACAATGGAGGCATTACTGGGCCCGTTTGAGCAAATCGATGAACGAGAGGACAGTGCTACAGTGCTACCAATAATATGAGGCCACTAGCTTCTTCACATCTTTTTTCAACACTAGTTGTTTGTGGATCTTTCTGATTAGAAATCCTCTGGGGTGCTGGAAAGTACAAAGGTTAAAGTATTTACCAAGCATGCAGCTGTGCTCATGACAGTGGTTCAAATCGCAGCACTGCATATGGTCCCCACCAAAAAGAAACAAGAAATATCCCTATAGATGCGAAGTGCTATCCTGTTTCAATTTAAATTTGTTAATATTTTGAGAATCTTCAATTTACTGGTCAACTACAGATTCCTGGAGTTAATACTCTTGAAATGACTTACCTATTTAAGAACCTGTCTTATTCACATCCTTTTTTTTTTTATAAGAAACCACCGTCTAACACAGTTTCATGAAAACTGGGAATTCTAGTTAAAATGAGTTCTCCAGGGGCTGGAATGATAGTACAGTGAGTAGGGTGCTTGCTTTGTCTGATTCCCAGCACCCCATAAGGTCCCCAGAGCCCTACCAGGATTATGCCCCTCCCCCATAGCTCTCCACTAATTTAAATTTTTGCACGAGTTCAAATTCATTCCTTTGTATGTGACTATCTTTGAACATTATTTACTCTTCTTTAATTCTTGATATAAAAACCTTAGTTTTGCATATCCCAGCTTTTACTACTCTAATGCACTTAAAGGTATTTCCTGCTTAGTATTGCTTTATTTACCAATCCCCCCTTCCAGTTTTGTGCTGTTTCACTGTTGTTTTGTAAAAACGTGAATTCCCATTACAATTTTTGTTGTTGTTGTTGGGTATTGTGCTCTACCTGTCATGCAGACTAAAGGTAAAGTCCCAGGTAGGGGCATAGGAACACCTTCAGTCTTGGCTCAGCTTTTGGACCCAAATGTTAGGGTCCAGTATACTCAAGACCTCACAAAGCAATGAGTTTTGAAGTATAAAGTTTTATTTGGCACGAGTCAAGCAAGTGTTGAGTTCAGAAAGCTGAGAAAGCTGATGGTTCGGCACTGTCCCCTCTAGTAGGAAAGCAACCTCCTCCTTTATTCTTGAATCTTTTTTCTCTTTGATTTCTGCAAGTCGCCCAATTGTTGGTAGTCTAGCTAACTTCCTGGTGACCTTTCACTTGATTGGCTGCCTCCAGCAGGTTTGTGCTGGGTAAGTGCCGTGTCAAACTCTCTACTGGTTGTGACCATCTGGGGGTTCATGTCTCATCTCTCTCCAAGAACTGGCAGACCTCAGCTTTCCACATGCCATTGTGCTTCAGGGTTTCTAGCTAACTCTGCAATCCTGAGATATGCCTCAAGGCCATGGTCATGACTGTACAAATTTTACACTAAGCAAGCTTTGGGTGCAGAATAGCTGCCACTTCAAAATGGTGGTGCTTATGCTATGCTGAATAATACCTATTTTCTCTGGAGGTAGTGGGGAGAGCCCCACCCCAACAGCGGTGTCTGAGTAATAGCACTGTCCTGGGGATAATATCACTGTCCTCCCGTTGTTCATCGATTTGCTCGAGCAGGCACCAGTAACATCTCACAACAAATTGTGAGAGTTGTTGTTACTATTTTTGGCATACTGAATAAGTCACGGGTAGCTTGCCATGCTCTGCCATGCAGGCGAGATTCTCTCGGTAGCTTGCTGGGCTCTCCGAGAAGGGCGGAGGAATCAAACCCGGTCGGCTGTGTGCAAGGCAAATGCCGAGTACAATAAAGAGAATATTTGCAATGAAAGTTGGAAATTCATGATGGTTATGTAACAGGTGGAAGGCATATATGCTGCTTCACAGGCCGGTGCTTGAGAGTGTCTCCGTCTTTTCATAATCCTCATGGAAGTCACATCCTGAATGGAAAGAACCAAGATTAACCAGAACCACTGACATTTTATAGACACAAATCTGTAGCATGTAGCGCACTCCTGAACAGGACACGGAAGTTACACAGAAGACAGTGTCTCTTCTTTCCTATGCTCAGACCTGCTCCCTGGAGTGGTTACTGCCTGCAAAGAGCGCCAGCGCACAGGGGAAACTTGGCATATTCCGCTCTGCTCCCACACTGTGGTCTGCTTGGCACTGTGGAGGAGAGAAGGAATTTCTTGGGGTTACTGGGAGTTCCCATTTTCAACTGTGCTAGGTACCACTGCTTTCAGGATCACTGGGACAATGTTAAACCTTTTGGAGCCACTGAGGTAAAAAAAAACTGCAAAAGTACAGATAAAGAAAAAAAGTTTATTTAGGCCATCACTCGGATCATAATAAATAATGCAATATACTAATGTAATAACAGATGTCTTCATGCATTTATCACATTTATAAATACACACAAGAAAAGCTGGCTTCCAGGGCCGTTGGGACAAACTCGGCAATACAGCGAACGTTAACAGTGTTAAGACGAGCAAACAGATTCTTCCTGATCATTTTTAAAAAACACACCCTCACATCTGAACAAATGTCAGTGCTCCTTTACAGCTTCTACTTTTATAAACATGCCAGAGCTAAAGCCAATTGTAGAGGATCCAGGTTGATGATTTGTTAATACAGAAACATTTCAGGAAAAAAAAAAAACTTTTCTGAAATTCAATGTGAAAGCTGATAAATTTTTGCAAGACAGAACCAACAACAAAGTGTGGCTGAATGGAAATAAAACCCAAAGTAGAAGTTAATAAAAAGTGGTTCTAATTCTCAATATACAAATGCTATTATATTATGCTTATAATTTTATAAGTGACCAATTACCTGACTGCAAAGGTAACAAACTTTTGATTAAAGCTTAATTTTGCTAGTAAATTTCACATAGTTAAATAGGGTAACTTTTAACATAAGGCTTTCAAAGAAATAATTTAAACATCTCAAACACTGAAAATGTGTTTTTATTTACAATTAGTCAATGATACCAGTGTAGAACTTAATTTAGCCAACCGCCAGTCTTGCATCCCTATTTCAACATCTGCTATTACATCCATCTTGTCAATTCTTGGGCACATCAGTTTAGTGAAGGAGAGCGTTCTGTGGTCCAGAGCAACTCAATATATGGCCATTTGGTTTGGAGACAGCGTTTAATAGGTGTGTCATCTGTTTGGAGCATGGGATCTTCAAAACCCATAACAACTGCGGTCCCCTCCACATACATTACCTGTTGAACACAATAAAGGTCAATGTCAATTTGCTAAGCAAATTCTTGCCTGGCATTTCCTACAACCTGCTTACTGTGAAGATAAATATGAAAGCAACCTGGTCAGGCACATTTTATATAACATCAATGAGCTGAGTTTTCGTTGTACAGTCATAATTGCAAGAAACTGAGTTCTCAGATCCATAGAACATTCCTATACTTACTACTATCGGTTTAAGAATGAGGCAGCTGAATGGTCAATTCAGCTAGTGAAATCCAGAGCTATATATGATTTTTCTAGACATAAATAGGTTGTATGCCAGTGAGACTATCTACTGCATTGAGTATTTCTGGAATATTGTGCTTGAGAATGTACACTGCACTGCATAAAGCATCGTGGCAATAGCCTGTCAGGACAAAGACCACACCCAAAGAGGAGAGAATGGTTGCCAGGGAAGGCTAGTGGTAGGGCTCACCCTAACAGGCAGTGATTACCAGAAAAAAAGAAAAAGAGGTATTCTGATCTGTCAGTAAAGATACAAAATCCCTCATCAGGGCTACGTGAAACCATTCTAGTTATTTTTGTACCTAGAAAAATTCCAACTGCATAATTCAGAAACACCAGACATCGACTGCCTTCTTTCAAAGTCTGTAATACTTAATTTTATACCCCCGATAGCTAAAACATGATTGTAACAATGTTCTTCCAATAGGAGCGGAGAAGCTATTTGACCAAGAAACCTCTTAATATCAACGGGGGAGTCCTTAAAAACATCAAATATGTGGATTCAGTTGTTTCATTACGAGGTTGGATAATTTTGCTTCACTGACCTCTTCTGGGAAACTCTAAAAACTACAATTTGTACTTCACATCTCAAATAAAGCAAAGTTCCCTTTTCTGAAAAATGGTCCACAAATATCCTGGTCAGTTGTTACCCTTAAAAACAGGGCAGGTTGTTAACTGCTTTTCACTGGCTTCTGGCAGGGGCCTGCTCTTGGCTGCCCCCGGGGCCAGCTGCCACCTCATGCTGAGTCCCCTGCTGTGCCCATGGTCCCAGTTCCTAAGGACTTCAATCACGCCCGCAGTCCAGTGGCATGTGGTACCTTGCCTTAGGATTCTGGTCCTGTGAGTGCTGATCTTTTCCTGAGTATGCCAATAGCAGGGTTTGAAAGTTCACTCCATCACACAAACAACATGGCCGGGTGGACCAGGGCTGGCAACAGGGTCCCTGTGCTGTGCGGGCTCAGTGAGTCCCTCACAACCCTCCTCCAGAAAACAGCATTAAGAGCTGACCCATCCGCTAGTCCCTCCTCCAGAAAACTGGGTGAGAACTGGCTCGTTCACCGTGCGGGGCTGTGACTGTAAAGTTTCTCCTCTGATGTAAAACTTCAGTCTAGCCCAAAAGTTCCCCCAACTTTGTAACTTACTGCCCCTCTGCTCAGAAAGAGGGAAAAAAAAAATCAATCTCCCCCAGGGAGCACTAACGCCACCTGGGAAAGCCTGGGCCATACTCATTAGCAAATGGCCGGGGATGGTAGCTGAGTTTTGTGAAATGTGCTTGGGACTTAATTTTATCAAAAAAGTCTATTCTAGTTTGCATTCCACCTGTTCGGCATTTCATGGCATTATGATCTATTTTCTGCAGCTTCCTCAATTTTGATACTTTAGAACTCAGCCTGGCTATTCCAGACCAGCAGGGTAGGCCAGAACTTACATGGACTGCTACATATCACCTGCTGTGACATACTGAAATAACATGCACTATGGACATCACGCAAACAAATCTAGTCAGTGCTCGGCTTAAGGTAGAGCAGTGAAACCGTAGGGCAGCCCAAGCCAGGCGAGGCTGTCAGGGTGCTCAACCCTGCCCAGCTCTCACCCAGGGATGCAGCAAAGGGTCACTTCCTGGCTGACTGGCCTTGGCCAAACTGCTGACCTCAGTACCTGAAGCCTCCTTGGTAAACAGCGACTGACAGACCACACTGACTGGCCTGAATCTTGAGAGACAATGATGATCTAATACGATTCCTGATAAAAATTCAATTAAATACCAGCTCTTCCGATTATCAATTTAAATCCTTTAAAAGTACTTTTTTCTCAAAAATCTGTTGTTACCTTTCTCCATCTGAGTGAATCAATACTCTTTACCAGACTAAACAAGAGTGTTGGCTGAGGAATAGCTGCAACATGGCTGTAGTTACCTGTATTGCTCCAATTTCAAGTTACCTCACCCAATAATGTATTTCTCAAATCAAAATGCATTGTGACTGTGGAGAGATTCCAGAATATTCTCGTTCAGCAGCAATTTTATAGAAATCAAACAATGTCTTGTACTCATTTGTCAGCCCAGGACAAGAAAAATAACAATGTGAATTCTCCTACCTTTTCATTATAATTTGATTGCTTCAGTCCATTGTAGTGGTACACAGTGAAAGACTCTGGGCCCTTGGAACCCTGTTGCAGATATTAGATATTATAGTTATTAAAACCTTAATTATGTCTTTATATCAGGCAATTTGTAGTTAGCAGTCAAAACTAAAACGCAAGTTTTATAAATATTTATCCTTTAACTGGGCAAGACACAGATGCAAGTCATTGGTTAGCAGACAGCCTAAGTGCTAACAGCCTAAGTGCTTCGAGGAAGCCTGGGAGTGAGGAAGAACTGAACTGGTGTGAAACTTTCTGGCTGGCAATACATTTCTTTCCTCAGACAGGTGGAGCAGAATGTTAAAAAAAAAGAGCTTTATTGAGTTCGTGTTGAAGAATAACATGCCTAAACTCAACTATCAGTAACTCTGCAAATCACAGTTCAATACTTTTTCTTTTTAAATGAGCTTTACACCATACTGGTAGCTGATCAAGTGACTACTGGATGGTGACACACACTTTGTTTCGGTAGTAGGGCCCAGCATGTATGTAGGAAAGCTAAGAACAAGTTGTCGGATTGGACTGCCAATGATGCACCAAACTTGGGAGCAAGGAGACGGGCGTAGACTCCTATTAACTGACCTAAGGGAAGATGCACCCCTTTGGGAAACAGTGGCCTCTCCCTCAAACCCAGGAGTCAGGTTCACTAGGAGGTACACCCACAGTTTCCTTCCTGGGTTTTAGAAAGTGCTAAAAAGACACCCATGTGTCTATTAACAAGAGTTACCTAACAGGAAAAGGGTTATCTGCTCCAATACCTTCTTCTGAACCTTGACCCCCTGACACTATATGTTGAGCACTGATAGACACACTGGTGTTGTCTTGTGAACACACACACTTTAACCCTCTTTGTATGGGAAATAATCCACACATCAATAGTGCTTTTTGAGTTTCGTGCATGTTATAATATATAACATGAGCAGAAAACATACTCAAATAATCACAAGATGATCAATTCAACAGAGCAGAGCAACACATATGTATCCTCAAGGATGTTACCTGGTCAGGAAAAAACTCTTGAAGAAATGGTGCCAGTAATATGATACCTAGTCCTTCAGGATCTAATTTATTCTTCATGAGATTTATACTATGGAGAAGGAAAAAAAAAAGAGTGGATACCAAAAGGAAAAAAAAATGTTTATTTTTCTCTTTTCATGATTAAATTACTGGTACTATAACACATTTGATTGCCAAAAATTCTAAGAGCTGTTCTTTTTAGACCCTTAATGACAAATACCGAGGAATGACATTTAATTTCCAAAACTTGGCTATTTTTAAACCAGAGTAATCTGTTACTATTTAGAACTTAAATTATGACGACAACTTTGGAATATTGTTCCTTATTAGGTAAAGTAATTTAAAAACTAGGCTTATAAACACAGGCTTCTAACCTCCCACAGGCAAATTCTCTCTGCTTATAAATATGCCTCAATTTAACAGTCCAATGAGGCATCTAATTTTAAGTTAATTTTAAAGCATCACTGGGCTCAGCATTGAACCATCCAACATGACTGGTTACATATTTCTAGGAGTGGCCCCCGACGATTTGGGGGGCCCCACACCTGTATGAACTCAGGGTTCATCCCTGGCAGTGCTTGGGGGATCTTACCATGGTGCCAGAGATCAAAACAGGTCGGCTGCATGCAAGGCAAGCGCCTTTCCCAGTGGACTATATTTCACTGCCTCCCCCCGTCTGCAGTTTTAAAATTCTGAGCCCAAGGAGAAAAGTAACAATGAAGATGGCAGTATTATCAGCTAGTATTTTCTTTTTAAATCTCAAATATTTTAAGAATGAAGATGGAGGGTTGTAATTCTTAAGGCAATGGAACTGTAAGGTGAGAGAGGGTAGAGAACTTTCAAAACACTGGAGTGCAGACTGAATTCCAGCTAATGGTGTGCGTATCCAAGCTCTATCTAAAGTGAACAATGCTTTGCAGAAACTCTTGGTGTTGCCTTTTGAAAGATGGTGCCTGTGAGTAGGAAAAAGGCACAGGGAAGTGGATGCAGTTTGAAGACTTTTGTAAAAGAAAACACTGAGTAAAAATTTCCTGAAAAAGGCTTATCTTCTAAATTATACATGCCAAATTAAATACACCTTATCATACAATATGCAAAGAATATGGCACTTGAGAGGGTCTGGGTAAGATAAGAGGTTGTGAGGGAAACATCCTACTTAATATACTTTATTCATCCTCAGCATGAAATCATCATACACCAAATCCAGGGTGTATGGTGAATAAAATAGTTCACTGTTTTAGTTCGGTTTTGGGCCACACCTGGCCAGGGCCCAGGGGAACAGATGGGGAGCCAGTGATCCACTCGGGTGAGCCACAGGCAAGACTGGATTACCACTCCAGCCCTGAGAGACCATTGTTTTAGAACAACTTCTAGAAAAATCATCTAACCCAACTGTAGTAACTTTATAGTTCACAATATGTATTCTGATCAAACAAGGGAAAAACTAGGTGGTATGTGGTATCTATGTAAGAATTTGGAAAAAAAAAAAAGAACTTTTCCCTTTTCCTCTACCTGTTAAGAAGCACCAGTGTCCAGAATGAACTGAACTCAGATCTCCTCTCCAAGTTAGAACAATGTAAAGCAAGATGGTCTCCACCTGAAACACTATGGCTACTGCTATTAAACCATAACATACCATTTACTGGTCCAGTTATGTTTCTCCTTTGAACACTTCCAAAAATTAAGTTAACTGATCTGAAGCCTTGGTGAATAACCTCAGCGTAAACAAAATAGAATCAAGATCTTAAAACTGTGTATGCCAATGTTTTATCTTACTTCTGTTGATTTCTTTCCTTAAATGTTTTGCAAGCAAAATTGGCTTGTTGTCAGAGAACCTTTCAAAAGGAAAAATAATTGTGTAGAAGGAAAAATAATTGTGCAGAAGGAAAAGTTGGTACACTCGATTAATTGATGTTTACATTTATTTATTTCTACACTCGATTAATTAATGTTTCTACTTAATGAGGGACTTTTTTTCCTCATGAATAAAAAGATTCTAAAGATACGAAAGACACTGTAGATGTAGTAATGTATAAACTACAACGGTGAGGATAGAGACAATGATTATATATACTGAACTGATTCACCAAGGTTTTGGATCATACATTGGTCACCAAAGGCTTAATTACTTAAAGATGTTCAAAGTCTTTGGTTAAATGTCTGTAAGACTAATGATATCAAATAAAGATCTAGCACTTCCTTCACTTGATATTAATGACGTGCAAAAGTTCTGAAAAATTGTAACAGCTTTACAGTGAGCAGAAACAAGAACAAATTCTAGAAAACATTTCTGGCACTTCTGAGTAGGGCAATAAAAGGCAGAGTGAGAGAAGGAAAGTCATTTTAATTAATATGTCAGGCTTATACCTTAAAACTCATGGTCTGGGGCCAGGGAGGTGACTCAAAGGACTGAACTCGTTGTCCAGGGAAGACCAGTTCAATCCCTGGACTACTGGGTGTGGCCCCCAAAGGAAGCAAAAAAACAACAAAAGCCCTAACGCCTCTTTCCCTTACACTGCTGCTTTCTAGAAAGTGTGATGTTTCTCACATGTTGGCTTCGACTTTTAAAAAGACCAAATGAGTGTACATAATGTTTTCAATCTGCTAGATCATAATTCCTCTTGTGCTTACTATTCAGGATCTGAAACAAGGTCCAATGCTTTCATCACATCTTCTAGAAGTGAATCAGGTATGAACCCATTATCTGGAAAAAACAAATCTGGAGTAAGAATTTACTTCAAGAACTATTATGGCTGATTAGATTCTGATAGGAAATTCAGATAAAATAAATACAAAAATTTAAGAAACAGTATATATATATTTATGTTAGGTTTAAACTAAACTCTTACTAATTTTCTTGGCAACACGTAAGGTTTATTTTCAGTGGTAGTTTATAATAAAAAAAAATTAATCACGTTTAACTAACAACTCCAAAGAAAACGCAAACCAAAGTACTTCTTATTGGGGTTCTGAGTGAGAGTCTGGCGGGTACTGCGTTTGCCTCGCACGAAATCAACCTGGACTCCATCCCCCATAGGGTCACCAGAGCCTGCCAGGAGTAATCCCTGAGTGCAGAACCAGGAGAAAGCCCTGAGCACTGCTAGGTGTGGCCTCCAAGATAAAACAAAAACAAAACAAAACAAACTGGTTTATAAATCTAAGAGTTCTGCTTCTTACTTAGTCATCAGATATAACTTCCAGTAAACAATGCGAACCTTCATGTTCCCTTGAAGAAATTCAATGTGAAAAATTTCTCAGTGTCCAGTTGCTTTGGTCTCAATGTCATACTTAACTTTTTGAAACAAGGTCAATGATCCACTGTTATTTAGACAACTGACAATATAAATATAAGAACAAAACAAAACAAAAGATGGAACAGAACCTCTCAAAATTAAAATGCAGAAATGAACCAAATTTGGGTAGACCAGTATATGAAAGAAACTTCCTTTTTTGGGAGGACTGGATGAAAAATGGTCCAAACCCTGATGATGCAATAGAACATGATATAACAACAACAAAGAAAAAAAACAAACAACCCCACCTCCTTCCCGAGGAGCCTGAAATCAGTGTAGTTTTAAACAAGCAAGTAATTTATTCCCTTAAATGTACAGTGTCTGAGGTCCTACCGCTGTTTACTCATTCTTGAAGACTGTCTCGGCTTTAAATCAACTTCCAACACAGTATCTTTTTCAGAGTAGGTAATTTAAAAACATCTTGTCATGAAGAACAAGATGTCCAAGAGCTTTGCTTTCACACCAAACTATAGAAAACAAAGGATAGTGGCTCTTTCAGGCTGTGATAGGTCCACTATATCAGAAAGTCAATAAAGAAATTATGATGTAGGAAATACTCTTTCTTAAACCTCAAAAGTATTGATGTGCCCGTTTAAAGATAGTTTAGTTTTAACTAAAAAGCCAAGAATAATTTGAGTGTGTAATTTTCAGTATGAGTAGGGAATGACTGAAGTGAAAAATATGCAAAAACTTATTCAATAAGTAACCCTTTTATCAAAAATATGCAATTAGGACATTTTAGTAAAAATGTGCACTTTCTAAGTGAAGGTTTAGAGTAATTCCAATGCCTCAAACTAGCACTGATCTGAGGTATGGAAAATAAAAAACTTCATACTGTGAAAGCATTCAAACTTTCTAAGAAGTATTCAAGCTCTCTGAAAGCCAACTTAAAGAGTTTGAACTGTGCCGGGATTAGTCGATGAGCACAGTTGGGTGTGAACCAAAAACAATCAAAAGATGTAGTAGGTAAAAGCTGACTTGGTTACAAATAACACCTTTAATGACTATAGCTTAAAACAACATATTTGTACAAACCCTGATATGAGAATAAAGATATTGGGGAGCTGGAGCAATAGTACAGTGGGTAGGGCATTTGCCTTGCACATGGCCGACTTGGGTTCCTGGTTTTCCGTATGGTCACCCAAGCACCTCCAGGAGTAATTCCTGAGTGCAGAGCCAGGAGTAACCCCTAATCATCGCTGGGTGTGACCCAAAAGGCAAAAAAAAAAAAAAAAAATTGGAAGGAAGAATGGAGGAAAGGAAGAAATACTATTTGATGAAGACAGTATCAAATGCTAAACAATACTGCAACAGTAGTAAAATCACTTTGAATTCTAGATACTGGCTGAGATACAAGTGTGAAAAAATAGATAGTATTACAGCTGTCATACAATATAAACTTGAAGAAAACAAAGACATGGGCTTCACCATTTCTTGCACAATAAAGATGTTATTACTAGTTTACATGACAATTAACTATACAAAGATATACACACACATACATATATATTCTGTGTGGGGGGCACACCTGGCTGTGCTCAGGATTTACTCTTGGCTCTGTGCTCAGGGTTTAGTTCTGACAGTGTTCAGGGGATCATCTGGGATGCTGGAGATTGAATCCAGAACAGCTGTGGACAAAGCAAGTGCCCTATCTGCTATAATTTCTCTCTGGCCCCATAACTAAGATAAAGTATGAAAACTTCAAGGTAACCACAGAACAAAAAACTAACATACAGAAAAAAAATAAAAGCATTCCACTATAAAAATCAACAGCTCACAAAGACAGATAACAGAGAAAGGATTCAAGAAACTCAAAAGTTGGAAAACAACAAAATGGTGATTAGTCCTCACTGACAATTAATCCAAGTTAAATTATTGAAATTCTTCTGTTGGAAGATAGTGGCTGAATGGATTTAAAAAAAAAAACTAAGCTCACCCACAGAACTTACTTAGAACAGACTCAACTTTAAGAACCCTCACAGGATGAAACACAAAGGGTACAGATACCCATGCAAATGGAACCCAAGAGACCAGGGCAAACCAAGCCTACAACAGACAAAAGAAAGTTGTTGCTGAGAAACTTAATTCCCCTGGGGGTCTAATGACTGCGAACATACACTCACCTATTCCTCACAGATATGAAGGGAGAGAAATAGCAACGTGTCAGTGGGGGCTGATATTGACAAGCTAATATTCTCCACAGCAGCAGACTAGACACTCACCACAAAGCAACACTCACCACAAAGACTCATCATACAGTAGGTTACAAAACAGGTCTTAGGGAACTACAGACTGAAAATTCAGAAAACTTATGTGATGCTGCAAAAGTGCTATGGATATATATATCTAGAGTATATATCCATAAGGTATACATTAAGATCTAAGAATCTGAAATCTCTAACAACTGAATTTTAATTCCATAATTCTTGTAAGGGCTGGAGCGATAGCACAGCAGGTAGGGCGTTTGCTTTGCACGTGGCCAACCCAGCTGAACCAAGTTAGATAACTCCGCCCCTCTCAGAGAGCCTGGCAAACTACCAAGAGTATCTTGCCCACACGGCAAAGCCTGGCAAGCTACCCGTGATGTATTTGATATGCCAAATACAGTAACAACAAGTCTCACAATGGAGATGTTACTGGGCCCGCTGGAGCAAATCAATGAACAACGGGAGGACAGTGACAGTGACAATTCTTGTAAGACAGGAAAAAAAAAAAAAAGATCAGAGCAAAAATAAAGGGTTGGTAAAACCCAAAGATCAAGGAAATTAGGAAGTGGTTTTCTGAAAAGTGAACAGACGTTTATATATTAATTAAAAAGGAGTGCACAAATAAAATCAAAAGGAAAGTGATATTACATCTGCAAACACAAATACAAAGAATTACCCCAAAGTTATATGCTGAGAAATTGGGTAACCTACACATGAACACATTTCTAAACTAAGAAACCTACCAAGACTGAGTCAAAAATAAGTAGCAATAGCTAAACAAATCAGCAATCAGCTATTTGACTAAACAAACTACCAATACAGAAACCTGCTCTGGTGAATTCTTCCGACAGTTAAAGAGAACAGATAACACTGCTTCTCAAAATCTACTTACTTATAACCCAGCGCTATGCTGGTATCAGATAAGGACACTAGAAAATCACAGACCAATAACCTGAATGAACAGAGGTATTAAGAACTTTCAACAGAATATTCGCAAACTGAATTCCCCAGCATATTCCAAGGATCACAGACCATAAATCAAGTGGGATTCACTGCTGGAAGGCAAAGATGGTTCAACACACCAAAATCAATGAGACACTATGTCATAAAGTTAAAAAAAAATACAATCACCTCAATGCATGTTAAAAAAAGCATTTAATAAAATATAAAAAAGTACTTTTTTATGATAAAATATGTCAACAAATTCAGTACAGTGGCAAAATACTTTACTACAACAAAGGTCAGAGATGATAAAATCCACAGCTAACATTATGCCTAAAGAGAAATACTAGAAGTGTTTCTCCTTAACATCAGGAATAAAGCAGTTATCTATTTTTGCCATTCTTATTCCAACTTGTTAAAACAAGAGTAGAATTGTGAGGAAACAGGGGAGATGATATTTATGTTATAAAACCAGTAATTAGTCAATAACATATCCTGAAGACTTAATGCACAGCAATGTAATGATAGCCAGGAAAATGGTATTAGAAAGTTCTATGTTGCTGAGACTAAATCTTTTTTTTTTCCTGTTGTTCAGAAATTCGTGTTTTTACTGCAGTGTCATAGTTTACAAGACTACTGAAATGACTGTTTCACAGATGCTCACCCATCCCTCTGAGGCTGGCAGCGAGTTCTTAGAAAGTAATAAAACAAGATGTGATTTGAAAAAAGTCACTGTCACTATCACTTGAGTGGTCAGAAATCAGCATGCAGGGCCTACTTTGTGGACACAGGAACTGGGACACCATGAGTTCCAGCTCTTCCGCAGCACCACAGCAATGGGCTCTATCGAGAAAGAAAACCTGTGACACTAAGTTTGGGAAAGAGCAAGGGGGGAGCTACCCCTGCTGGGAAGAAATGGGAGGCAGCCGCCTACGCTTCCACCGGAGGCGTGTCCTCTCAGCTCTCTCCCTTTCTGAGAAGCCCGACTTTTCTCTTAAACCTGTTACTCTCTTTCCTTCCTCATAGTCTCCACCTGAAACCACATTACTTCACTATTCTTCTAGTCCTGACATCCTTTTCGAGAGGGGAAAGTGTGAGACCTGAAAAGCCTGCTGAGTTGGAAGTGACTGCAGAGAGCGATTCCTCCAGCCTGGGGTCCCTGCTCCCCGGTAACTGGGTGGCAGGGATCACTTCCCACACTGGGCAGAGCACGTGAACCCAGATGCGGTTTGACCACTGCCTCGTGGGGCTGGTGGGCTGGTGGTCTGCACTGTGCAGGGGCTCAGAGTAGAGTCCCTAGTCCAAACTTGCCCAGATACTTTCCTGGGTGTCACGGTGGCTGGGGGGCAGCACTTCCCTCCCCTCCCCACAAAATGCCTCTCCCAGGGGTCTAGGATCCCACCACCATCCTCCCTTCCCTCTCCTCCCTCCCAAGCCTCGGAATTCCTGATTCCACTGAATACAAAGAGACTAGATCTTGGTCTCACCACAATAAAATTTTGTGACATGTTAGAAGTGTTGGTTAATATTTATTTATTAACTAATAATTATTTTGGCATATGTAGCAGACTAACATTGTCTTCCTAAAAGTTAAACTAATTATACTGGAAAAAGTCTGGAAGTTGTTTAACATTCGAGTGAAACAGTAAGAAAATAACTTGCTTTTTGCAAAGGCCTGTTCAGAAGGTGGAATTTCCCCATTTAACAGACTATTCTGATTCAAAACCCAAGTTATCGTAGAAGCATGGACCCTCATACCATGCTACAACTTAAGGAACACTTATGTGTCAAATATCAAGGAATGCAAACTAATATTTGACACAATAATATGATTACTTTTTTGCACAAAACTATGACGATATAAAAGCTGTGAAGATATAAAAGAGGAGAAGATGCCAGCAATAGTTTTTACCTTCTGGATCATAGGTTTGAAACACTCTCCTGGCTTGCTCTGAAGGAGCCTCCGGGGCAACTAAAGCCATGTCCTAGAAGAACAGGAGGAAGCTATGAACCAGAGACAATCTAGTGATGTTAAACAACAACAACAAAAGCAAACAACATGCATCAGAGTCAAATGAGTAAACGGTGACAATGACAACCGGAAGCCTGATTCACACATAGAGCACTGGTGTTGAGTTAAACAAGTCTCTAGGCATTAACTTTACATCTGAGAAATGGAAAAGAAAACTTTAAGAGACCCGTTGTTGGAACACTTAGAAAATTTTATATAAGAACATTTGAAATATCTATTGTTAAATATGTTAAACAATATACTAGAAAAATAGAAGCAAAAATCACACATATATGTGAGTGTGTATGTGTGTGTATATATATATATACATATGTGTGTATATATATATACATACATATATACATACATATATATATATACACACACATACACATTCATATATGCACGGCAGAGCCTGGTAAGCTCCCCGTGGCATATTTGATATGCCAAAAACAGTAACAACAGGTTTCACAATGGAGACGTTACTGGTGCCCGCTCGAGCAAATGGGAGGACAGTGCTACAGTGCTACATACATATATATATGCACACATATATACTCACTTTATATTATCACCCAATACAACTTATAGTATATTCAAATATCCAAAGATTAACACACTAGACATAAGCTGTGTAAAACTAGATAGCAGATCACTTGAGATTACTGTAGTAGGCATTCATATCAATACTCAGTCACAGATCAACAATTGAGAGCTATGCGTCAGAATCTCAAATTTTCTTAAAGGAAACATGACTAAGAAAATATGTTTCTTTCTCTCATGGAAGGAATACTGCATCACAACTCATTTCTTTATGTACTGAACCATATTATTATCAAAGTACTAAGCACACAAGGCATCATTATCTTGATGATACTTTTTTTCCCCCCTTTTGATTTTGGATCACGCCCAGTGGTACTCAGGGCTTACTTCCGGCGGTGCATAGGGGACCTTATTAGGAGCCAGGAGTTGAACTTGAGTTTTCATAAAGCTCCTAACTACACAAATGATAAAAGGTAAAGGTAAAGGCCCTCCCGTTGATCGTTGATTTGCTCGAGCGGGCCCAGTAACGTCTCCATTGGAGACTTTGTTGTTACTGTGTCTGGCATATCGAATACTCTCGGTAGCTTGCCGGGCTCTCCGAGAGGGGCGGAGGAATCGAACTCGGGTCGGCCATGTTGGCCGCTTGTAAGGCGAACGCCCTACCCGCTGTGCTATCGCTCCAGCCCACACAAATGATAAACTGATAAGAAATCCTAATACTTGAAGCCAGAGAGATAGTGGGTGGGGCCCTTGTCTTGCACACAGTTGATCTAGGTCCAATCCTTGGTACCACATGGAGCTCCAGGAACACAGCAGGAGTGATCCCTGAACAGTGCCAGAAAGATGCCCTAAACGCAGCCTAGTGTGGCTTTAAGAGCAATAAAGAAAAGAAAGAAATCCCAGTCCTCGAGAACATGAATCTGGGTACCAGACAGCTCCTCCTCACCAGGGCTTTGGTCTATCTTTGTCTGTCTTTCCAGCCCCTGGAACAGCATTTCTAAAGCTCTTCCTGAAAGAACCAAACAGGACTGAGAGAGAAGGAACAGGAGTTAAGAAGGGAAACCACATGAACGATTGGTTCATTTTGAATTTGGAGGTAACGGCTAACCAACGAGTGGAGCATACGAAGCTTCTCTGGGCAATCACAAGCTTCACACAGGCCAGTAGAAACAGGGTATAAGCATGAGTGGACATTAGGAAAGAAAAGCGAGGTCAAACTGAAACAGATGAAAACAGATTCTTGGAAAGGCATCTTCCAAAACGGAATTTAAGCAGTGTACCGGAAGTGTGAAACAAGTGTCTCAAAATCTGCAGAATCAACACAAAGTCCCAAATGTGAATTAACTAAACACATTTATCTTTCCCTTCCAGAAAAAAACAATACCTCAGTGGCACTGGTCAGCTTTCATATAATAACCTGCCATAAGATGGGACTTATTAATACAGTTGAATTCAGTGATTAAGAAAGACTCATGCTTTGGTTCACTGGTCCCAGTGACAGACTAATAATCTGTTAACTCTTTTTAACTGCACTGATTTTAAGACATATTTATACTAGACAGGGGGAAACAAAAGAAAAGAAGGTAAAATACAAAATTACAGTAAATTCCAAAAGTTTCTGTCCACAAATCAAAACCAGTAGAGTTTTCTAAACCGATGATTGGCTTAAGTGTTTACAATGCTTTTTTCAAATTGCTGTAGAAAAAGATTTCTTATTTTAAAGCTGGCTTAAATTTATATAAGTTTAAATATTTATACATGAAATCAGGAGAATTACAAAAACACCGTCTATTCCCATTAAAGTGTTTCATTCTGAAATCCTTTTAATTTCTTCATTTGAAATGACAAATTCTAACACTTTTTACTAATTTATATTTCGAATTTACATTCCTGGACAAGATTTCTAATGGAAAGATCTACTGCAGAATAATTCAGTAACAAATTTGGTATTGCAATAGTTGTAGATATATTTCATGTTCTATAGAGAGTCTGAACAGCAAGTATAAAATTTCAGTCCTTGATAAAATCTGAAGAAAAGCAAGAAAAGCATTTTAGTGAGAAAGATAAAACTGACATTTGTCTAACTGCAAATAAAGCCAACGACAAATTAGAGAGGATGAAGTCAAACAGTTTTTTTTTTAAATTAATTTTTATTAGTGAAACACCATGAGGTACAGTTGTAGACTTAGAAATTTTTGTGCTTGGGTTTCGGTTATACAATGATCAAATACCCATCCCTCCACCAGTGCCCATTTTCCACCACCATGGATCCCAGTATCCCTCCCACCCCCATCTCCCCATCCCACCCTGCCTCTGTGGAAGGGCATTCCCTTTTGTTCTTTTTCTCCTTTTGGGTGTTGTGATCTGCAAAAGAGGCACTGAGTGGCAATCATCAAACTGAGTTCTTATAATTGTATGAAGAACATATAAAGAGATTTCTTATCTCCATGATAACATAACAATAGCTTTTAGATTATTCAGTGTATTTTTCTCATATATATAAGGAACAGAGGTGATGATGCCAGAAAAGGAAAATATGGAAAAGATTCACATCCATAAGGTTATGAATAGTATCAAGCTATTAGGTGGTAGAGAAAGGTACAGTTTGTATATTAAGGTTACAATCCAAGGAAAAAGAAACAGATTGGTACTACAGGCTTACATCCATGAATGTCACTTAAATTATCTTAGAAAATTACCTTCCAAGATAAATTCAAACAAACATTAGCAGCCCCTCTCCCCAGCTGAATTATAAACAGATTCCAATGATGGCATCCAACTTCTCTAAATCAGTAGGGCTACTTTTCAGCATTTTCTTTCTCACTAGTTGTAGTACTTCGGAGCTGATTCAAAGTGTATTGCAATTAAAGGGTGTTTGCAACCCCGCTAGAATAAACTCCTAAATTGACTCAAATCTTAAAATATGATTATTTTAACTAACTATATGAAAATATGAGTTAGCGACTGATACTCTCATTTACCACAGAAAGGATTTCTGCTCTAAAAATTTCCCTCTATCACCACTCCAATAGAATCAGATACTTTTGATTAGAGGAATGTTAAAAGCAAACAATTTCTACTCAGTTACTTTACTGGTCAACAGGGACCGGGAATTACTAAACAAAATAGCTTTTAAAATTATCTAGCTTCACCTAGCTTTCCTTAATTGGTCAAGTACTATGAGAGAGAAAGGGGCTGGGGGCCCACCCCACCATGCAGTGAGACTATCTGATATCCTACAGCCAGGGGACACGGATCCGAATCTCGTGGTTCTGCCTGTGCTATCGGTGTAATGATTCACTGCACCACAAACCTCCCCAAGGGCTGTAACACAAGCTGGCCTCCTGAACACCTACTGAAATATCAGTTCCTTGGCTAGGTGAGATCATTAAATTACTGAAGGGGCCTCTCAGGCCTATTCATCGCAACCCTTCCTCACTCTCAGCAGCTCTTTCTGTGCTGAGAAATCCAAGCACCCCACACCCCACCTAATTTCAGAAAGGATTGCATTTGTATGAACTATATACAGCAGCCTACAGACAAGTCCTTCTAATTTATCTTTAAGGTTTTCTATGCTGCCCCCACCCCCTTGCCACCCTTTTTTTACCATTTACTGAGGTGTCTGCACTTAAGATATTGTCAGTTATATCTTTCTTACATGCTATCATCCCAACACCACACACATCACCAGTGCTCACTTCCCTCTGTCAATGTCCCAGAGCCCTCCCCGGTACCCCCATAGTCCCCTGGAAGCTAAGCTCTATAACGAAAATGTTCAGTTCTAATGACTGGCTATTTGTTGTTTCCTTACCATGTTTCTTTACTTCCCAAACATGAGACTGATCTTTAAAAAAAAAATTATTGTGGAGGTGGTAATACCTACACATATATAGATACTTAAAGTGAAAATCTTGAAATTCCAGAAATTGTAAATCAATGATAAATTAAAAAAAATCTTTTTTTCAAAAACAGTATATTTCTCTTTGTAAGTGTATAAATTTAAAAATATATAGCATGCCTAATTATGTACTAGTACATTTTTAAATAAATATCAAATAGATAAATCTTACAAATATAAATTTAGTAAAAGAGGAGGGCTTGAGAATTTAAAGGGAAAATCTGAATGCGCCTATGCAAGTATGAAAGTGTATTTTATCCCAAAGAGAAAATATACTGCCAATACAACTTTATAGTAGCAATACAACAATATTTATAATAGAAATACAATACAACTTTATAGTAGCCAATTTTATATTACAGAATACGCCTAAGTATCTTCATTAATTAATAAAAGAATGTAGTAACTGCCACTGATACAGAACATAACCTGAATAGAGACCATTTCATATACAAGAAATATCAATTTATTATGGATGAAGTATAAGATCGCCCAGCAAGCTGGGAATAAGCATGTCTTCCTTAATAGAGAGG